TTATGGGGTGTGCCAGCATTTCCCGTTGCTGGGTATGCCCACTATCCTGTCCTTGCTTCTTTACCACTTCCCCTTTCCCCTTCTCAAAACTCTGCACTTGCACTCACTCTTAGCTTCTAAGTTCTGCCCCCCTCCTGTGAGCCTTGCCTTGGGACCTTGAGTTCCCTCTGAACTTGGACACTTGAGGGCTGGCCCTTCCTCACTGCACTATGTCTTAATCCTGTAATGCATTTGGGTGTGAGCACTGCCCGGAGTCCACTTGAGGCTCTTAGGGAACTATGACACATCCAAATGAGAAAAGGCTTTGGATATTGATCGTTGGAGTTGGTTTTACTTCATTCTTCAGACATGAAGTCTGAATCAGGCTCTCCTTGGTTGTAATTTTCAATTTCTGATGCATTTCCTTTACTTTACTTTTGGACTGTAATAACTTTGTAATAAACTTTTGGGGTGATTAGTGAAAAGGGAGGGGTAACCATGCATGCAAGGGGTAGATATCCTGCTCATAGGGTTTTCTGCATTTCTGCATTCGTATAGATATCCTGCCTATAGCTTCTGCACTATTGCATTCATATAAATATCCTGCTCATAGGCTTTTTTGCATTTCTACATTCGTATAGATATCCTGCCTATAGGTTTCTGCACTATCTTATATAGATACCATGCTAGAAATACAAATCCTGCATATGCATCTGTCACTAGGCAAACCTGTTTATAGGGATTAAATAACTAATAACATTTAGATACCATGCCTATAGGATTTCTGCACTCTTGCTACGTCTGTAAAAAATGTTTAAAATCAACAACGCCTAGAAAGCATGCCTATAGGAACTATTAACCAAATCTGAATCGTTTCACTTTCTTATAAGTCTGAAATCAGTAACAATAATGCCTAATGTCTGCAGAACTTAAACTCGCCTTTCCTGATTAGCTGACAATTTCTTTCCTAAAATTAGCATAATTCTTTTTGAAACCAGTAGATATCATACCTATAGGTTTCGTCTAACACTTAGGCAATCCATAAGGTAAACTTGTGAACTGAATCAGATTTTGTTAATTATAACCAGTAGGCAGGCCTGATTCAGATTTTTTATCTAAAATATGTAATAAATCAGTCTGCCTCACCCTTTTAAGTTTAATAAGACCTTAATCAGTACATGCAAGACATGCTAAACTATATGCTTTCTTTGATTTAAGGAGGTCTGTTTGGGCCTTATTTGTTTATGTGTCTCCCTATACTTGTTATACGTGTTTTTGTTTGTCGCACTAGTATTTTTACCTTTAAAACAACAAATAAGCCAAATTTTCCTCCATTATAGGATTAGTAGTCCCAAGTACCTCCGGGGCTGATTGGATTGGGGCGGGTAATAGCATGCAATAAGTAAACGAGACTATTTTGCGCTTTAATACCTTAACGGGGTGGGAAAGGGTAGATATGGACATGATGACCACGCGATAATGTCATGTGTAACCCCTCATCGAGGAGCCATTACCGGACATTGTGTGGGGTAATCCATATTATTTATAAACCTAATACCCCCTTCCCTTTACTTGTTTATTTCGTTGTTTACCTTTCAGAATTTCAAACCGTTTTTCTCAAATTTCAGCTTGCCTTTCACTTCTTTTAATTTTATCTATTTGCAACCATTATATGAAAACCCCCTCATATTTGAAACTCTTACTTGCTTACTTAAAGTCACAATTATAGTGTATCCGAGAACTACACTAGTGGATCCTGAGGGGTGCCTAACACCTTCCCTTAGGGATAATTTCAAGCCCTTACCCAATCTCTGGTTTTCCAAATCAAACTCTTCTTAGTGTCCTAATGCATTTTAATCATTAAGAGGTGACTCTTCTCTTTTAATAATCGTTAAAAGAGTTGTCAATGTCATGAACCTAATTTCGCGAGAAAAAGGGGGCACGATAGTACAAATATATGTTGATGGCATAATTTTTGGGGCAACCACTGGCAACCTGAGTAAGGNGCTCTTCACCTAGCATGTGCGTCACCGCATCTTTTAAAACAAGTCAAATACCGGGGTTTGTACCCTCAGTTCCAGATTTACAATGATTACTTACCACAAAATAGTGAAAATACTACTCCACGACGCCTTTGCCCTTCGAATCGGCCTCCATTCGCGTCGAATCTATTCAAAATCAGAATCACGATGTCAAAATATGCTAAGGGAACGAAGCCCAAATTAAAATAATCAAATTATACAAAAAAAAACTCGAAATTGGCCAAACCCAGCCCCGAGTCCACGTCTCGAAACTCGATAAAAATCACATCAATGGAATCCTTATCCTCCCACGAGTCTATATATACCAAGAACACTGAAATCGGAGTCCAAATGACCCCTCAAATTCTCACTTTAAAGTCTCTTAATCTCAAGCCCTAATTCCTCAATTTTAGGCTTAGATTCTATGATTTATTAGGTAGATTTCATAATAGAATCGAGTTTTAAGTCCAAAATTCTTACCTCCAAGTGTTTACCCTTGAATCCCTCTTCAATCTCCTTTAAATAGCTCCAAAAACGACCAACGATGGAAGAAATAAATCCCACATTCGCGGACAAGACGACCTTTAGACCTTCTGCCCAGGCCTGAAATCCTTCTTCGCGAACGCGGTTAAAGCCTCGCATTCACGAAGCACAAATTAACTTTGACCAATTTTCCTCTTTAGCAACCGCGACCTCCCCATCGCGAACGTGATGCTTTGCTCAAACCAACCTTCGCGATCGCGTTCCGCCTCTCTCGAACGTGATGAACAAATTCCCCCTGAAGCTCAGCTGCCCATTCCTTCTATGCGAACGCGACAACACCCTCGCGAACGCGATGCACAGATGCCCTTCGCGAACACGAGGATCCTCTCGCGAACACGAAGGTCATTTTTCTGCAGTACTGACATGCAATTTTCTGCAGGTTCCAACTTCATGAAATGGCCCGATTGACCACCCGAAACTCACCCGAGGCCCCCGGGACCTCAACTAAAGGCACCAACATATCCCAAAACCTTATTCAAACTTGTACCTATCTTCTAAACACCTCAAAAAATATCCAATCGACCAAAACACATCAGATTTAAGCCTAAGTGTCTAAAAACTTCTAAATTCCGCTTTTGATAAAAAACCCGACCAAACCACGTCCGAATGACCTGAAATTTTTCACACACGTCCCAAATGACATAACGGAACTATTGAAACTATCAGAATTCCATTCCAACCCCTATATCAAAATCTCACCTACCAACCGGAAATCGCCAAAATAGCAACTTCGCCAATTCAAGCCTAAATCTACTCCGAACCTCCAAAACTCATTCTGATGACGCTCCTAAGTCCCAAATCACCTCCCGAAGCTATCCGAACCATCGGAACTAATATCCAAGCCCTCTAACACATAAGTCAACATCCGGTTGACTCTTCCAACTCAAGCTTCTTCAAAAGAGACTAAGTGTCTCAAACCTTACCAAAATCATTCCGGACTTGATCTGACCAATCCGATACCATATTACATGGATAAATAAAGCATAAAGAAGCAGAAATGGGGAAAACGGAGCGGTAACTTATGAGAAGACTAGCCGGGTCATCACACAGATCAAATAAAACCTAAATGGAACCATGATCCATCAACAGAAATATGCAAAAGAGTTGATTAATAAGTTTAAAATAGATGAATCAATGGAAATAGACACACCTATTGAAACAACTACTAAATTAGACATAGATGAACCTGGTTCATCTGTTGATCAGAAGTTGTATAGGGGTATGATTGGTTCACTTTTGTATCTTACTGCTAGAAGACCTGACATAGTTTTCATTGTAGGGCTTTGGGCTCATTTTCAGACAAATCCTAAGGAATCTCACTTGACTGTTGTCAAGAGGGTACTGAGATATTTGAAAGGCACTACTGATCTTTGTCTTTGGTAACCTAAAGGTAGTAACTTTAATCTAGTGAGATATGATAATGCTGACTATGCAGGTTTCCTTGTGGATAGGAAGAGCACCTCAGGTATGGCTCATTTTCTTGGTTCATGTCTTGTACCATGGGCTACTAAAAAGTAGAATTCAGTGGCCTTATCCACTGCTGAGGTTGAATATGTTGATGTTGCCTCTTGTTGTGCTCAATTGTTGTAGATCAAACAACAACTGATAGATTTTGGCATTGAAGTTGGTTGCATTCCTATCTTTTGTGATAACACTAGTTCTATAAGTGTGATACACTAGTGCTATAAATGAAAAAGGATTGATTACCATAGAATTATATGCTACTGATAAATAAATTGCTGACATCTTTATTAAGCACTGAGTAGAGAAAGCTTTGAAAGGAACATATTAGAATTAGTGATGACTAAGATCATCTAATTGGACCAGCTCAGAATGCATAATGAAAAACAAATAAAAAAATTGGAAAAAAAATTTTTGGCTAGGAAATCTGGAACTTGTGTAAATATCTAGATTAATTTTTACTCAGCTTCATACTGTAAATAGTATACTCCTGTGACATGTGTTAATATGACTCACTAATCTGTAACAAAATTTTCTCTATTGTGGTAAATTGAGGCATGATTAAGAGAATTCCAAATGAAGAACCTGGTTCATCAGTATTGGTCCATCTAAATGTTAATGTATGTTGTCTATACTCTACACAATTTGAAATATAAATATTTAAATCATGAGCAGAGTCCTACCATTGTTCAACACATTAAAAAAATCCTATCTGTTTGTTTTTAACCAGTTCTGTTCTTATTAGAATTCTCACCACAAAAAATGCCTAAAATCTAGGGAATCCTAACCGTTCGTTCAACCTACAATTTCAGGTTGATTATACCTCTAATTGACTGCAAAGCTACCATTATCCATTAAATGACTCTTTCTCTTTAAATACCCATTATTACCTTCTACCACCCTCATTATTCTAAGCCGTCAAAAATCCTTTTTCGCTCTAAATTGTTTTCTTCTCCAAAAGACTAATTCACAAACTCTCTCAAGCCATCAGCTACAATGTCTAACCCTCAAGATAACCCTGGGACTCCTCCACCACCATCCCCTTCTGGTTCCTCCACGCCTCCTCCACCCAGTACAAACCCCCAGCCTAAGAAAAGATGTGTTAAAATGCTAGCACGAAAAATTGTAGCCTCAGGTGCATTGTCAAAGAAATTAAATGCACAATTGAAAGATGCCTAAGCCCAAGATTTTGAGAACTCAAATGATTTGTTCAAATCTGCGAGTGACGGGGAAGGACCTGGGTCGTCTGACTCTGAGAAGACTCAAAACCCCCCTTCTAAGGTAAGTTCTGCTTTGGCTGAAAATTTAGAAAATAGGTTTGTTTTGGTTAGACCTATTAGGGATTTGGAAATGCCTGAATTGGGAAGGAGTGGAGGTAAAAAGAAAATTGAAAAAGAAAAAGAGAGAGAGGGTGTATGTGGTGATGTGAAGGGAATAGGGAAAGGAGTGGCTGGTTCTTCACCCACTTCTGAATTGCCGTTACCAGCTATCTGTGGGTTTGCACATGCAACTGTGGAAGAAAGTGGCAAGAAGTCAAGGGGAAGTGGTTCAGGGGAGGCTGCTGAAGGGTTGGTTAATCTAAGTGCACAGGCAGATGAACCTGGTTCATCTATTGAGGAGACCCTACCAGACCTTATAAAGAAAGTAGGTGCCAGTTATAATCCAATGAAAAGGAGAACTCCAACACCAAAAGCCCCTAGTGCTGCTAAACCTTCCAAGAAACGAAAGGCTTCCTCCCCAACAACTACTGAAATTCCCTTTCCAAAGGAAAGAGCCACAAAAAGTAGGGTGAAACAGAGTGAGAGTGACCTACAAAAAGCTTTGGCTGAAAGTAAGAAGAAGAGGATGGATAAAGGAAAAGGTAAGGTTGCAGAGTCCTCTGAAGCTGTTGATGTTGAGGAGGTGGAACAGGTCCATCAGGAGGACCATACAACAAAGGAGGTATAGACCCCCAAGCCCAAAAAGACCAAGACTTCTTCCAAGAAGTCTTTATCTGTGTCTAAGGCTCCTGGACCTTCATTGGCCAAAAGGACAAGGTCTGCATTAAAAAAGCAAACAAGCTAGAGTTTCTGAAGATGAGGAGTGGAGTGGTGAAGAAGAAAGTGTGTCTGATGGTGAAAAAGACAAGCTGGCCAAGTATGGAAAACAAAAATTTTTGAAGGGAAGATTGCTGAAAGACTTAGTGGAAGCAGGAATGGTTCGTTTGGTTGATGCCCTAGCTATTCAGGGCTGGAAGAACATGGTCCTTCAAGTGGATGGAAGGCTAGCCAGGAATGAGATAATTGAATGTAGACATGTGATTTTTGACCCTCCCCAAGATTTTTTATATTTTAGCATGTAAATAGTTAATTTAGGCCTAATATAGCTATTTCAACTATTTTTGACTTCTTTCCTTTATTTTCGTCATAAAAATGGAAAATTACAAAATATATTTTAGCTTACGTATCTTTCATAAGTTTAAATAAAAAATATACAAAAATAGTACCTTATTTTTATCTTTACATAATCTTGAAAATACAAAAAATATATAATAGTTTCATGTTAGCTTTTGCATTATGTAGTATTTTTATCTTATTTTAAAAGGAGTCGATTAAGGTGTTGGATCATAATTTTAAGAGTTCTAGAACCCAGTTCTTGGCCCAATTCGGATTAGTCCATTAATCCTAGGGAACCTTCTAGACTCTTTTTTGGAATTAAAACAAACAAAAAAGACCCTAAGGATCTAATACACAAAAGACCTAGGGACTAACGGACAAAATACACAAAAATACACCTAAACCTAGACTCTACCTATAAAGTAATGCTTAAAAAAATGCTGAAAGGGCGGGGGGGGGACACAAAAAAATTCCGCTAGAAAAGCTAAAAAGCTGCGCCAAAAAAGGACGCCCCACAACCCCTCTCAAACAACAAACAGTCGCTACACACCATGAAACTTACAGCGAACTTCATCAAGATGCACAGACGCCTGCCCTCCTGATTTCGAACAGCCAGCAATAGCCATCCGTTGTCGTTTCTTCTTCTCCCCAATTCTCGCTGGAGCTCGCCGAAAATGCACGCATGTAGACAGGGACGAAAATACAAAAATACATATTATTGCTTCTTTCTTTTGGTTTCAAATTGAGTTTCAAATGATGGAATTTAAATGAGAGGATGGGGATTCAAGTTCATGGTTGTGCGTGAGTACCGGTCGAAGGCGAGGTTCCGTCCGAGCTTCCGTCTGACTTGAGTTCCCATTGTAGCCACAGTTTTGTTTTGCTTGTGTAACTGCTGCACACTTTGAGAAATTGAGATATCCATTTCAGGTGCATTCTTTCCCCTGTTATCCTTTACATTTTTTTAATTTGTTTTGAAGTTTCAGTGATGATGTTTTCTCTTCCATGATGTGTATCTTGAAATGATTTTTTGGGTTATGGTTGATTTGTTGTTTATTCTTGTTCTTTTGCGTTTGATTCCATGCCAGTAACTCCATGTTGATGTGAGTAGACATAAGATTTAGCTTGTCTAATCTAATTCAACATCGTATGGGCCTTCAAAATGAAAGTAAGATTTGGATCTAATTTTTAAGCAATAAGTTGTGGTATATAATTAGCTTCAGGCCAAGTTGTTGGAATAGTTGTTGAGTAGTTGGCACCCATTTTCTTTCTGGATTGATATTTTTTCTCTTGAAATTTTTTGTTTCTGAAAGGTCTTTTGGCTTTGATATTGGAGCTTAGAGTTTTGCAGGGACCATTTTTATAATGGTTTTTGATTTAATCTTTTCTCTTTTCAAATGTAAAACCATCTCAAAATAGGCCGTAGGGATTAGGAAATGCTTGATAAACTTCAAGAGTCGTTGGATGGATTCGGGATTCAATGTGAATGACAACTTAAATTTAAAATATTTCTTTACTTTATTATTGCTTCTTTTTTATCATTGTAAGCTAACCTTTAGGCACGTTACTAAAGTATTACAACTACGGGTACGGTTCCCGTGACGTGGTTGTGATACTTATTTTTAAAATAGGGGCGTTTTCAATTTTCCTTAGAAGAAAAATACAAATCTTTCCTTTTAAAATTAATTTGAGGTGTGCCGTGCCAAACAAAATCTTAAATTGCATGGCTCTCGTTTTAATTAATCTTGTTTATCCTTAGAAATCGAGGTGTGCCGTTTAGCGAATTTCCATGGCCCTTGCCAATTTAAAAATGCGTAGTAGCTTTAGGCGCGTCATAAAGTTAATTTCCTAAACTCGGGTGCACATTTATGTGACCCAAATCCAAATCTCAACGTTAGATAAAATGTGTTGCGGACTGCGGGTGCATTTATGTGACGTGAGTCGAGACATATTTTAAATGACGTCGCAATCTTCCTTTAAAAATGAATAGAAGCGGTTAAAAAGTTAAAATTGCACATGGGATTAAACATGTTTAAAATGAGATAATTAGGCCAATAATAACAATTGAACAATCGTGCTAGTACCACGGAACTCGGGAATGCCTAACACCTTCTCTTGGGTTAACATAATTCCTTACCCGGATTTCTGGTTCGCGGACTGTAATACAGAGTCAACCTTTTCCTCGACTCGGGATTTGAACCGATGACTTGGGAAACCATAATTATCCCAAGTGGCGACTTTGAATTTAAATAAAATAATCCCGTTTCAATTGTCACTTTAAGTTGGAAACAAACTCCTTTATACTCCCCTTCCGGGGTTGTAGGTAAATAGGAGGTGTGACAGCTCTGGCGACTCTGTTGGGGATCGAACCCAGAATCTCTGGTTCAGTGTTCAGAATTCGAGCTTAGATGAATTGTCGTATTTGGTTTTATCTATTATCTGATTTTATTACATGATTGGGCCTAATGTGTTAAATGTTGCTTTTACCGCTTTGATATTATCTGAACTGTATATAAACTGCTACGAAACCCTTCTCTTCCCATCTTAGGGGATGTGCTCGCTGGTCGAGACTCCCTATTCTGTTAGTGTCATACCCTGAAATAAGAAAGAGGCTCGGACAAGTTACTAAGCCGGATGGCCTTTTGGTTCCCGGTACGTAGCCCCCTCCTCGGCTCGAGTTGTCCGCTCAGGTACACAGTCTAGAACATATACCCAGGTTTTTGAACCTAGAATAACTCAGTCTCATGTCGGATCC